TATGTTTGGTGTAAAACACTCAAACTGCTCTCGTGTGTGTGCACTAACGTGGATGGCTTGAATGCAGAGGACATATTTTGAGTACGTACGTGGATGTCGTTTCCACTGTCACTCACTATAGAACTGGAGGAATATTGTCACACAGGAGATGGAGGGATGAACAGAAAGATGCTCATTTGTATTGGTTATGATGCATCACTCTATAAGTGCGGATTGGCCAATAAGCAGCTTTCTCCACAACATGACCCAGCAAGAAAATGTGCGTTTCGTCTAATAGCCGTCCAAACACAGCCTGAGGTCTAGGCTAGTGAAACCAGGCAAAGTTTGGGCTGTCAGTGAACATTTAACAGACGTCTAAACCAGCCCAAGAATACACTAGTCATCAGTTAGATACAGAAATGAAATGAGTGAAGAAATGAAACTCCTTGTAATCAGTGTTTACTTCGCTTACATGATGGAATATCAGACATCTCACAAGTTATTTAAGCAAAAACGACATGTAACCAAATTCAAGGTTATTTTGGCTAGAAGTGTGTTACTCATAGACTACACTCTAAAAAATGCTGGGTTGTTTCAACCCAAAGTTGGGTCAAATATGGACAAACCCAAATGTTGGGTTAAAAATGTAATTAAATATGTACAGTTGAAAGTGAAAGTTGAAGTTGGGTTAAAATTTTAAATTACATTTTTAACCTAACATTGGGATTTGTCCATATTTGACCCAAATTTGGGTTGAAACAACGCAGCATTTTTTAGAGTGTATATCGGGTCTATAGTTAACCGAGACGGGGAAATAGCGGCTATTGCTTGCCGAGAATTAATCCGTGCCGCTGCTGTAATCTCGCACATGGTCATCAGAGCTCTTCCTCTTCGAGTACAGGAGCACATACACACTCTTCAGAGAGGAGCTGTTATTATCTTGAAACACTAAAAACATATACAATCCCAGACAGGCAGCAACATATCTTGGATCAACACATCTTGGACACGTGGAATCCCCAGGACGAGATCTGTCACTCCAACCATGCGAGAGTCACTGGAACTATAGTTTCTAGAGATACCGAATCGTTTAACTGTGTTGATAACGACAGAACATGCTTTCGGGGAATGGTCAGGATGCTCAAACAGAGCAATGTTTTCAAAAGTGTTTTTCAGCGGAATCGAGTCATATGAAGCTGGGACTGGAGAACTTACACACCCGTACCTGTAAACACACGGATAGACGCGCGCACAACCCCTCTGGTATGAATTTCCTGCAATAAAGTCCATTACCACACAAAGATGTTAGAAGACTGTTTTATGTCACCCCTTCACGGCAGTGGCCGTTGACCTGGAGACCTCGGATCCCTGACCTCTGACCTGTGATTCTGACCTCTCGTCCTCGGTCCGGCTCTACCTGCCCGGCACCTGCTCTGAGAAATGAAAGATTAGGGAATGTGTCTCCGGGGACTCCTTCCGTCCCGCAGACAACAGGCGCACAGTCCCGCGTCTCAATGGGCCTCGAGTGGGCCTGGTAAACCAATCTCCCTAATTATCTATTGAAAGAACATTCTCTTTCCTTTCAGAGTCATTACCCCCGTTTCAATCGCTGAAAAGTAACATACAGGAGCAGAAGAAGCAGACAGGGAAAAAGCTTGCTGATTTCCACCAAGGTTAATTGCTTGGGAGGGACCAGATGTGAAATATAGATTGCAATAAAGCTGAAGGGGACGGCATTGAGGAGAAATCACGAATGAATGCAAGATCTTACATGGCTCTTGTTTCTGTGGATTTGAAAGGAGTGGCAGAGGCATATAAATCCGTTTCGGGATTTTGATTTGATTTTGAAAATGACAGATATTAATTCCCCCTCCATCCACCCGAAATCAAACTAAACGTACACAATTTGTCGCTTAAAAATGAATCTAAAGGGATTATCTGTCTTATCTGTTTATCAGGTAAAGCTCTTCTGTCGTTCTCAGACTGAAATGAGAATATCCAGATGCACTTTTATTAGAGATGCACCGATGTATCGGCCAATAATCGGCATCGGTCGATTAAAGCTATTATTTCCACTATCGGCCGATTGGTTAAAAACAGCCGATGATCAGTGCTGATTATATCCTGTCAATCAAAACCGTGTCCGACTGCAACTCATTCTGTGTGTGGAGACAATCTCTCTTGTATTGAATTTAGGGCAAGTAAACACAACAATTAAAAAATAGTGAGGTTAATGCAGGCTTCATTTGACCCTATGAATCCCCCGTAGTTCGAGCCAGGGTTGCCAGATCTGGGCTTTTCCTACATCAGACATTATTTCTAGCGCCTCCCGTCCAATAATCACTTCTATATAATAATTACTTCTGATAAGAAACAAAGTCTCAGCTTTCAAATTCTGTACATTTGTTCACGAAATTCAAATAATAAATGGTGTTTTGACGCTCTTAAATGTGACGTGACAGATCTCTGTAGTGATTTCTTCCACTTTAATACTAATTATATCTAGAAAAACATGCATGAACATCAGAAGGTATGTTGAAAAATACAGTGTACTGAAACCCGTATCATGTCTCGTAATCACTGCGCAAACACGTCAGTGAAACAGCTTGTGAACAATATCACTCAATGTTGCATTTAGGAAAGTTATCCACAGTTCGTTATGTTCACAGTTCGTTAGTTAGCAATAAAAACACTAGAGAAGAACTTACTTCCTATTAATTATACATGTATGCTTGAATAAATTTGCCATGAAGAAGTTTATGAAAACTACCTTATGTGCAACTGAGTTGTACAAACATTTCAGCTTTTATTTGTGTAAATATTATATCTGGAAATAAAAAGCAGTGGAATATAATAGCTCTGTTGTTTTAACCTCTAATATTATAGTGTACCAGATGAGAGGTTCCCTGTATAGTTTGCAGCATTATTTGGGAGATATTTTTTTCCTTAAGAAGAATCAAACAATTGGTATCGGTATCGGTATCGGCTGATATAATTCTGAATAATTGGTTATCATTATCGGCATCGGTATCGGCTGATATAATTCTGAATAATTGGTTATCGGTATCGGTATCGGCTGATATAATTCTGAATAATTGGTTATCATTATCGGCATCGGTATCGGCTGATATAATTCTGAATAATTGGTTATCGGCATCGGTATCGGCTGATATAATTCTGAATAATTGGTTATCGGTATCGGTATCGGCTGATATAATTCTGAATAATTGGTTACCGGTATCGGTATCGGCTGATATAATTCTGTATAATCGGTTATCGGTATCGGTATCGGCTGATATAATTCTGAATAATCGGTTATCGGTATCGGTATCGGTATCGGCTGATATAATTCTGAATAATTGGTTATCGGTATCGGTATCGGCTGATATAATTCTGAATAATCGGTTATCGGTATCGGTATCGGCTGATATAATTCTGAATAATTGGTTATCGGCATCGGTATCGGCTGATATAATTCAGAATAATCGGTTATCGGTATCGGTATCGGCTGATATAATTCTGAATAATTGGTTATCGGCATCGGTATCGGCTGATATAATTCTGAATAATTGGTTATCATTATCGGCATCGGTATCGGCTGATATAATTCTGAATAATTGGTTATCGGCATCGGTATCGGCTGATATAATTCTGAATAATTGGTTATCGGTATCGGTATCGGCTGATATAATTCTGAATAATTGGTTACCGGTATCGGTATCGGCTGATATAATTCTGTATAATCGGTTATCGGTATCGGTATCGGCTGATATAATTCTGAATAATCGGTTATCGGTATCGGTATCGGTATCGGCTGATATAATTCTGAATAATTGGTTATCGGTATCGGTATCGGCTGATATAATTCTGAATAATCGGTTATCGGTATCGGTATCGGCTGATATAATTCTGAATAATTGGTTATCGGCATCGGTATCGGCTGATATAATTCAGAATAATCGGTTATCGGTATCGCCGGAGAAATATAGTATCGGTGGATCTCTAGTTTTTATGTTTGGGTAAGGGGATCATTTCATCATTTCCGTCTGGAAATCGGTCACATTCTCTTTTGCGTTACTTGAACTGGTTAAATCCCACAAGCATTTCACACTAAACATATTTGTTTTCCGTTGATGGACGAGTGGCTCTGGTTGAGGTCTTGAACGTGCTGTTTCTCAGTACACGGATCCTCTGAGATCTCTCCGCCAGCTGAATGACCTTTACATCTTCCAGCAGATTTGCAGGACCTTGCAAACATTCAGGAGCCATTGGTTATAAACCGAAGAGGATTGACTTTATAACGCACAAATGTGTACATAAGTCTTCTGTTCAGATGTATACCACATTATTATTATTATTATTGTTTATTTTATTTTATTTATTTATGTTTTTCCTGGGTCTCTTTTAAAGGTATTTTCTCATGTCATATATGCGTATACTCTGATTCTGATTCTGACTCTGACTCTGACTCTGACTCTGACTTGACTTGACTTGACTCTGACTCTGACTCTGACTCTGATTCTGATTCTGACTCTGACTCTGACTCTGATTCTGACTCTAACTCTGACTCTGACTCTGATTCTGATTCTGACTCTGACTGTGACTCTGACTCTGACTGTGACTCTGATTCTGACTCTGACTCTGACTCTGACTCTGATTCTGACTCTGACTCTGACTCTGACTCTGATTCTGACTCTGACCTGACTTGACTTGACTCTGACTCTGACTCTGACTCTGATTCTGACTCTGACTCTGACTCTGACTCTGATTCTGACTCTGACTCTGACTCTGACTCTGATTCTGACTGTGACTCTGATTCTGACTCTGACTCTGACTCTGACTCTGACTCTGACTCTGACTCTGACTCTGATTCTGACTGTGACTCTGATTCTGACTCTGACTCTGACTCTGACTCTGACTCTGATTCTGACTCTGACTCTGACTCTGACTCTGATTCTGTTTCTGACTCTGACTCTGACTCTGACTCTGACTCTGATTCTGTTTCTGACTCTGATTCTGACTCTGACTCTGACTCTGAATCTGTTTCTGACTCTGACTCTGACTCTGATTCTGATTCTGACTCTGACTCTGATTCTGACTCTGACTCTGACTCTGACTCTGACTCTGACTCTGTTTCTGACTCTGACTCTGACTCTGACTCTGATTCTGACTCTGACTCTGACTCTGATTCTGTTTCTGACTCTGACTCTGACTCTGATTCTGACTCTGACTCTGATTCTGACTCTGACTCTGACTCTGATTCTGATTCTGATTCTGACTCTGACTCTGACTCTGATTCTGTTTCTGACTCTGACTCTGACTCTGATTCTGACTCTGACTCTGATTCTGACTCTGACTCTGATTCTGATTCTGACTCTGACTCTGATTCTGACTCTGACTCTGACTCTGACTCTGTTTCTGACTCTGACTCTGACTCTGATTCTGATTCTGATTCTGACTCTGACTCTGACTCTGATTCTGTTTCTGTTTCTGACTCTGACTCTGACTCTGATTCTGACTCTGACTCTGATTCTGACTCTGACTCTGACTCTGTGTTTTGAAGTGTGTGTCCGAACGCAACACCCTTCCTGGCAGCAGTGTGTGAAGGCCCGAACACAAGCACTCGTGCCAGAGACACCACAGGCCCGCTAAAGGGCTGGTGATTATGACTTCACTGGTTTAACTTTAGTGGTAACACTGTAGAACAATGGCCCGTCATTAATACAGTAACTATGCAGGAACTACCAGTGATCTGGACCCAAAGATGTTTTTCACTTCAGAATAATGGTCCAGATCACTGGTAGAACACTAGGTAACACTTGAGTAATTAGTGATTAGTGAGAGTAAAAAAAAGACAATTGCTCACATCTCAGACACATTAATGTTGTGAATAGTAATTACTTAGTAATTCTTTGTAATTTGTCATAATTACCTATTAGTTCTTAATGATGCCAATCTCATTAAGTAATTATTGATTACCTATGAGAAACTATCTTAGTCCTAAATTCGATGTTACTTACTGATTAGTTAAGCTTGTGTCTATATCAGTAATTGTAGAAGCTGAAGGGTTAATGTAGTTCTACTCATTAGTCCTGCATTACTTCCTGCATGGTTTCTTATTAAATGACGGACTATTATTATAAAGTTTTACTACTGTAGTTAGTGTGTGATGTTGCTGTTTGAGCGTAAACAACATCTGCAAAGTTACAACTCAAAGTTCAAAGCAAAGGGAGAGATTTGCTTTTACAGAAATCACTTCTTAAGGACTACAACACACGGCTGGTAGAACTGCACGAGCTTCTTCACGGGTTAGTGACATCACAAACCTAAAATTTACATAAACCCCACCTCCGGGAACGTGATTTATAGATGATCATGACAGAATATGCTAATCATTGACTGGAAGATAGTTAACTCCACATCAGATACATAAACTCCACATCAGATACATAAACTCATCAACTAAGCGTTCAGAAATGTCCTGTTGCTTACATGTCGTCACTGAGTCTCTCCCTCTGCGCCGGGAGCAGCAGCTCATTTGCATTTAAAGGGCCAGACACAAAAACTGTGTGTTTTTGCTCACCCTCAAAAAGTGACAATTTGAACATGCTAAAAATAACTGTGGGGTATTTTGAGCTACACTTCACACACACACACTGGGGACATCAGAGATTTCTGTTATATCGTGTGAAAAGGGCATTACAGGACCTCTTTAACTGACTGTCAGCTTTGCCGTGTGAAGCTGTGCTGAACTCCCTCACGCCATCTCTCTGCGAGCTCGGATGTACGTCGGCATGGAAAGAAACTCTGACTTCATTTCTGGTTTCTTAGCGCATGTATCTGGCAGGTACGGTGCCGTGTTTAAGTGCAGAATGAGTGATGACACGCGCAGGTCTATAATTCCCCACCACATCTGCTTCTGATTGTTAACATGAAGAAAACAGACCACTGGTCCCTGTGGAGACAAACTCAAACTCAACCAGTGTCTCGGGTTACCAACCGTCCCGATCAACAGTCCAGTGTGTTCTTACAGCTCTCGTAAACATGTATAGAAACTATATAGAACTCTAGAGCCCAATTTTACAGAACCCTTTATTCCAAAAAGCTTCTATATAAAGACTTTCATGTTTAACAGGTTATTGTTTCTAGTGATGAAGAGATTCTAAAAGGTGTTTCATGCATAACATTTAATCAAAATGAAAGTAAATCCATAAAGTGATGGGAACCTCACGGTAAGTTTCATCATGTTTAGTGCATGGTCATTTTGAGTATGCATGAAGAAATGTCTGATCCGTCCCGTGTCTGTTGGATACGTCACAGAAATCACAACATAAATTGATACGGTTGATTTTAGGTTTTAATAGTTTAATTTTAGACATCTGGATTGGTTACATATAGAAAGCAGAGTAGCAGATTTAAACTAAAAATGGTACACAAGATAATCAATAAAAGAGCTCCTGCATATTTAACACGTGTCTCCAGGGTTAGCGAGAGACTTCTTTAAGAGACTAGCCCTTGTGTACCCGTTTCGATTTTCTAGTTGTTGGAAATACTGGTTAACCTTTGTTTTTTTTCTTGATATTTTGTAACTTTTTCTCATTTATCATGATGAACATGCATGCAAAGTTTCAACATGCTGTGTTTCGACATAAACAAACAAAATTACTGTTACGTTCGTGATGTTCGCGGGTCAATTTGACCCTTATAGACAGCCATTCAAAAGCAGTACAGAAAAACATTTATTTTCTGTATGTCAGGGCACTTCAACTCCAGTTGTAAAAGTGCTCTAACCCTAACCAAACACACTTCAAAAAGCTAAAATCACAGTGTTTAGAATTATTTGCAAATTACAGATGAAAATCTTTGTATATATATATTAAAAACATTTTTATAAATCATATTTTCAGATATAATGTTTTTGTAATGTTTGACAAATGTTGATATTAAAAGTTTACAGTTTGTATCTAAATCTTTGTTGTTTTTCATAGTGTGATTTTTGAGGAATTGTATTGAACCCAGTTAGGGTCGATTTGACCCGCTCCAGAAAGGCTGTGCACAGGACTCGAACAGTGCACTAGGGCTTGGCAAATCTCGTGGAGATCACATTATATCGTTAACTGTGGACGGTACTCAGGACTCAGGATATCAAAAGTATTTCTAATATGGTTGGTTTTAGTGCGAATGTTAAAAGCTGGTTATTAGATAGGTTGTTTTAGTGTTTGTATTAGTGTATTATGTGGATGTTTAATTGTGATTGTAAACTTTGCAACTGTGGAACTTATTGTAGCTCTGCAGTGATCATGCCGGAGTAACCTGTGAACCTGCTCTTCATGCAGGACCTCAACCGAAATACCTTTTTAACTTTATTGTGTTATTGTTTATTTCACTATTTTTTTGTCAAATAAATCAAATCAAATCAAAACCCCTAAAAGGTCATGAATGGAAGCCTTTACGGTTCCATAAAGAAGCTTTTCTTCTAAGAGTGTCTTTGTGCTTCTGTACAGTGTAACTAACAGATTTGTATTCATAAATATGTCTAATGTATATAAATGATAAGTCGAGTCTCCTTCATCTATACAGCGCTTTAACAGTATAGAGTTTCACAGCAGCTTTACAGTGATAACAGGAGATTACAGTAACAGAGAGTGTTTAGGCTTTACAGCAGCTCTAGAATAAAGTTATTGTCCAGATAAAGTTAGTTTTATAAGGTCACCTAATGCATGTTGAGCTTATAATCACTTTCCCCAGTTGAGCATTAATGTTGACCTTTTGATCCAAAATGATATTCATGATCATTCCAAAAGTGTAACTAATTTGAGAGCTGGAAGATGCCCGTGTGAGGGAGGACTGGGTGAAGCCTCTCCCTGGGGTGACGGGGTTTATTTAGGAGTGATGTGGATGTGGCTTACGGAGGAATAACACAGAGCTGAGCGAAGCAGGAGTGTGTGTGTGTGTGTGTGTGTGTGTGTGTGTGCGCGCGCGCGCGTGTGTGTGTGTGTGTGTGTGTGTCTGTGTGTGTGTGTGTGTGTGTGTGTGTGTGTGTGTGTGTGTGTGTGTTCACTGTGGGAATCAGCTGGAGATCCAGCAACCTGTGTTACAGCAACCTTTCCCTGGCTGGAAGCCTTCCTCGATCTTACAGCTCTTCATCCCTCTTCCTCTTCCTCTTCCTCTTCCTTACAGTCGCCGAAGACACTGAGCTCTTCATCCTCATCCTCTTCCTCATCCTCTTCCTCTTCCTCATCCTCATCCTCATCCTCAACCCTCTTCCTCATCCTCATCCTCATCCTCTTCCTCATCCTCTTCCTCTTCCTCTTCCTCTTCCTCATCCTCATCCTCATCCTCAACCCTCTTCCTCTTCCTCATCCTCATCCTCTTCCTCTTCCTCTTCCTCTTCCTCTTCCTCATCTTCATCGTGCACAGGGAGCCAATCGCATCCTCGCATCTCTGAGCGCTAATGTAATTTAACCCTGTGGCCACTGCACTGTAACTATGGTGATACGAGCTCTTGGGTCAATTGAGTGTGTGTGTGTGTGTGTGTGTGTGTGTGTGTCACCTACACGTTCCAACGGAAAGAATCTAGTCATTCTACAAATACGTCAGATATATAAATTATGATGAAAGATGATCGATTAAAGACTAATTTTCGCTGTTCCTTGCACATTAGCATATTACAAACTCAAAACATTTTTACCATTTCTAAACTAATATATTTGAACATTGGCCTCACATAAGCAGCTTCATATGAATGGCTTTTCTGCAGTTCAGGAGCTCATCTGGTGTGTTACGTCACTTCCACACGAGATCCAGCGTTGACCTTTGACCTTTCAGTGCCTTCATTGGACATTTCACCTTCGGCAAAAATGTCACCAATGATCCTGGGTTGCATTAATATCTGAAATAGTGATGAAAGACGTGAATAGCGAGTCGTTTGTGTTCTGTCCTGATCTTTGAACATCTGTCTATCACTGTGTATTTGTGGGTCTGTGTTCACATGCAGCGTCTTCGAACATGTTTGTTGAGTTAAAACATACTTCAGTCTGTCCTTGCGTCTGACGCTGGGGAAAATCCAAATGTGTGTATGATTTGTATGTCATAATGATGGCAAAATGAACTCTAACGTTGTGTAGATGTTTCGAGCTCGGCAGAATGAGTCGACTGACGCTCTGGTTGTCCGAGGCAAAGCGCGGTAATGAAAACAAATGAAGGGTCTTATTCCCGACGGAACGGGGGAGGAACTTAGTCATCAAGCTAATTTTATTCTTGTCTGGCCAAGAGACTTCATTTCCTCTGGGTGTTTGCACAGACGCTGGCTCCTCGATGCCGCATGATGGATACGGTGCCTGATGTCCGGATGGCAGATGCTGGACCTGAAACTCAAGACCCGATACTGATTCTCTTCAGGCACTCCATTCAA